TCATTTTATTTGAATTAATTTTGAAATTTTCTTCCATTTTTGGAATTGATAATATGTTGGTTTTTGCTTTATCAATAAAGTAATTTTTCGTATTTTTTGTAAACATCCATATCATTTAGTCTCAATTTCAGTTTCAGTAATAAGGTTTAATAATTAAAAAAAAACATGTGTGTTTCATTGGATTATTGGTGAAAAAATAATTTTTATTTGGTCATATCTTCAAAGATGCTTATGATTTTATAAACAGAGCAGTTAATCTGCATCAATAGCATTTCTTCGCCAAAGGTATTGAACACAAAAGTAATGAATAAATAAATAATAATAAACTACAGTAAATTTTCAAATTCAACGTGATTAAAAAAAGTCTCAATTCTCTGTTTAGCTGTGGAAAAGTTCATTTCGAGATCTATAAAATTAAAATCGATTTTTTGCCATAAACGTAGTAAGTATATAAATAATTGGCTCCTATTTTGTATAATCATTCTCTTTGATTGGTGCATTTTTTATGAGAAATTCTTTAAAAAACATCTCTTCGAATTTCTGAGCGTCCACTGTAAAATGAATTGGGCATGCCGCAGTAAATTATAATTTGGCATACAATGATTCCTTAAAAGTATAAATAAACTAAACGATCATCTAACATTATTTCATCAATTACCAATGTTATCAATAATGAAATAATTCGATGAATATATTTAAAGCGATTGAAACATTTTTGAAACCATACTTATGTATTTACGTTATTATCGATGTTATTTGAACTTTTGATGTAAAAACATAAAAGAAAGAAAGAAATAATTGAAGATGGTTATTTTTCGATGCTCAATTACACAGTTTGAACGAAGTTATAAGTCATCAAATTGCTATATGCAATTATATACAAAAAGCATATGTTGAGAAGCTGATCGACCTTCGATTTTTGTTTGTAAACACTCTTGAATGTTTGAGAAGCGATAAAACGTCGCCCAAAAAACTGTTTAGTCATGCTAGTTACCAAATAATACTTGCAACGGATATATTGGGCTGATAGAAGAGAAAATCAAACCAAAATATAATGACTGGAGGTGAATTGACATAACAAATATCTTTTAAAGATGGATTTTTTTCTTCATATTTTCAGAAAGAAAAACGTCCAACGCAAAATGGTTGGATTTATTGAATTGAAGTAATTAAAATTACACAGTTAATGTTAACCATTCGAAAGAAGATGTGAAATGGACGAGAAAAAAAAGACTAAAAGAGCGGCCATGAAAAAGAAAAATGATTAAGTGGGTTGATGTAACAGTAACAGTAACTATGGGCGTCGACAACTTTGTAACGCCCCAAATAAAACGAAAACAGTTACCGTCGTTGCTTATGAGACCACCGTTGCTGTTGTAGCACCGAAGAGGTAATCACCTATCCACTCTTTTTATTATTCTTTCCATTATTTACATCATATCATTCAACATTCATATTATCATAAATAATTAGAAAGTAAGGAAGATGAAAATATAAAAAATATATGAAATTTGTCACATATATTAATAAAAAAAATATAAGATTAAGAGTAACTTGCAAGTGAACTGAAATCACAATAAAATCAACATAAAAATAAATAGAAAATACAGGGTGTAACGGAATTTGCCGGAAATATTTTTTCCACTCCTTGGACCTAGACTACTGAAAAAAGGGATATGGGAACTTTTCTATTAGAAGCCACGTTTGGCCACTCACTCATAATTTCGTGACCTCAATTTTTTTTTGATCAATACCTCTAAACATGTGTACAATTTCTTATGAATGCATACAATCCGAAACAGTTTCTGATTTGTATTTGGACAGAAATATGTGTTTAGATTGTTTGTGCATTTCATTCATGCATTTTTTTATAAATAATGTTCTTTGACCATCACAAAAAACACAAGTTACCTAAAAGGTTATTTTATTATTATTATTTTTTTAATAAATTCAAACGTTTTAAAAATTTTTTGCAAATCTCGAGCAAAAATATTGTTTTTTCCCTTTGAACAACCAAACTTCTGGACGTTTTTGGTATTCGATTGCGTATACGAACGAAGGCGACGAACATTTTAATTTCTACGAACGACCGACCGACCACAAAAAAGTATTATTTCCACTTATGAACCAACGACCTACTGCCCAGCTCTGGATAGAATAATTAGACAAAATAATCAAAATGGCAAAACATACTTTTAAACTTTTTTATAAAAAATGTAGAGGTTTAAAGGATAAAAAAATAATATCAGTTTGGTACAATTGACACCAAATCTTACATTTTCTCGGTCATAACAGCCTAGTAGAAAAGTTGTCAATGATGTGAATAACAATACCTGTTGTTGGCATTATAGTCAAAACTATATTCTTATTTAATCTTACAACTATTTAAACATTTTGTGGCCCAAAAGCAATTTCATGAATTAAGAACACAACAATTGTTTGACTGCCGATGGCAAAGTAATCAAAACAGTTTTCCATCTTATTTATTTTTTCGTTTCTTTCTGAAACACTGAAAATTGTTGAGAAAAACTACAATTTCATTGAGAAAACCAGAAAGAAAATATGTGCAGATTTTAATTAAAAGTCTTGATAATAACATATTTCAATTGAATAAAATTGATTTCTTATTATAGTTAAACCAATATTAATAAAATCAAAATGTGAACGATGTATGTTGCGATTATTAGTTATTTATAGCACGTGGTTTAATAAATGATTTCTTTTCCATTAATTAATCTATGGTTGAAAAATAGATGCCAGACATGTCATCATATCCGATGGTTTTCTGTACCACAATACTCATATAAAAACAAATGACGGTGTACACGTCCATTTAACGTTAAATATTTTAAGAGCGTGACGGCTTAAAAATTATTTTAGAACAAAAATCAGTTGATTTGAGTGCTGTTGCATTGACATGTAGTCTATAGCGCTTGCTCCTTTCTGGTTTAACCAAAAGAGTGGAAGAATGACAAGGACAGCGTATGACGTTGAACGACGCTCACTGCGTTAGAAAAGAGCAAGCGCTATAGACTATATGTCAATGCAACAGCACTCAAATCAACTGATTTTTGTTCGAACAGAGTTTTTAAACCGCCACGCTCCTAAAATATTATTTACATCGTGTGTTTTTTATTCGACAACAATTTTTTAACAAAAAATAACGTGACGCTTATCTTTAACGTTAAATGGACGTGTACAGCGACAATTGTTTTTATATGAGAATAGCTCAACATTCTTTTCTCAAAATAATATTAGTCTTTAAAATGCTTGCAAAATTTTTATTAACCTCATCAGATTTTTCGTAAGATTTTGAATCTTCAGTAGGTCAATTGTCCAATTTCCAAAGCTGTTTTGGTTTCGTCGCATCAATTTGAAAAAAAGGTTTCTATAAAAGCGCATTACTTTCTCTTGTAAAATTATCACGCCATCTGTGGAAAAACTTTATTGACTGTACAACAAATGTACGCAAATAAAATTGTTCAACATTTTATTTTACAAATACAATTGAATCTTTCTATTGTCATGCACATTTTCGAGTTTTTTTTGTTCTGTGATATTCAATCTTAATATAATTATTTAAACATTTGGCCCAAAAGCGAATTATCAAAGCTGAATATCAATTTATAAAAATGAATACATTGAATATGATGATAATGAATTAGATGGAAAAGATACAGCATTGAATATAGAAAATAATATTGATAGCAAAAAGATTAGAACAATATCGGGATAAGAGTCAAGTGATAAGAGTTCAATGATTTATTTTTAAAAAAGAATTAAAAAAAATTAACGTCTATTAAAAAACCGGCCGTTTTGAAAAATGCGCTTATAAAAGCGCATAATTTTCTCTTCTAAAATTATCACGCCATCTGTGGAGAAGTACTAACTTCTTTATCGACTGTATTAACTGACGAATTTACGCAAATAGTCTACTACTCTTGAGCTTATTTTCAAGTGCAGATCTTTCACCACTTTACACACTCATTTTTGGAACTCATTCAGTCATACTGCTGTAATACTGACTAATAATCCAAAACACATGACGGCTCATTACACTCCACAGGTACTCGAACAAGTAACAAAATCGACATAGAAATAAGAGCAAAAATAATTTTAGTTACTGAATAAATGGTGAGCAGTGCACGTCTTCAAAAATAAATATTTTAATATTAAGGCAAAATGTTGTTCTGAAGATGATTGTACAAATACACTGAAAAATGATAGGTCTTATTTCTTTACTCTTTTATCAGACGGTGAACATGAATAAAAAAATGATTCAATCATTTTTGAATGCCTTTTTGTTTTAACTTCACGCCTGATTTTGTACACTTATTTTATGGCCTTGGGAAAGAAAAAAAATATTTCTTTTATTGCTATCGACATCATATTTGAAATTGAATTTTATGACATAGCTGTCAACGCTTGCTTGAGCCTTTGAAAGGAATTCGTTGAGAAAACCGTGAAAAATTTCAATTTATGGTAAATGACCCCAGACATTTCAAGTAGAACTCAAATTATGAACATATGCTTAATCAAGCATCTCAAGATCATGAACACGAAAAATAATAAAAATTATATATGATTGCTCTAGAATAAACAGCATATTAAATGGTTGCATATCAAATCGAATCATATAATATTGGATGTGTTATGTGAATGGATATGTGATATGCATTTTTTTCTTCAGACAGTTATAAGAAAAGCCGGTAAGAACCATATCAATATTCGCTTTCATCTGGCGTGTATTGCGTCGACAGATTTGTATTACTTTTGTTATTCGATTGAACTCTTAAGACTTACCCGAGTCCGTTGAAATTACGAAAGAGATTTCCAATATACAAACTTTTACTGAGCAAACGGCACAGAAAAATCAACCTCTATTGTAAATATCGAAAATAATATCGATAGCCAAAAAGTGCATATAAATGAGTTCAATGAATAAAACATTAAAACAATAACGGAAAAAATGTCAAAATGATTTATTTCAATTTTTTTTTTGTATTAGAAAATATCTAGTTCCCGCAAATCTATTCTTCTATTTAAATCGATTTAAATATTTAAAAAAATATTTAGTTTTCTTAACGTCTATTGAAAATCATCTTAGCCTGTGAGGTAATAAATGGATTTTTTTAAAAATGTTTTTTGGTTTTTGCTCAATAACTTAAACAACTACAACATTTTTATTTTTCCGTTGAATTTCTGGGAAGCTCGTCTTTAATGGCAGCTTGACGTTTCTTTAGGCTCTGAATTTTTAATATGATGTCGTCAAATTCGTGCCATGTCTTTGCATTCGATGATTTTTTCAACTTGGCTTTGATGGAAGCTTTACGTTCCTCCAGGTCCTGTATTTTTTTGAATATTTCTTCATATTCATCGAACAATTTTTCATTAATATTCGCTTCATCATCTTGAATAATGATAACGGCATCGTCGATTGCTCCTGATGAATGGCCAATTTCGGATGCTCTGCCTTTTTTCTTTGGCACTGAATTTGCCTGCTCCCCAGTAGAATTCGCCCGTTTTCGACAACTTTTGTTTTCGCCATTTGCTTCGGCCAACAGATTTTCATCGTAATCGCCATTTTGAACATTGTCACCATTTTCGGCCTGCAAGTCGTCTTCTTCTGCATCAAACTCCTGATATGCAGGAATTACTTCTTGTATAACCAAAGGCTCCAATTTGATTTGAGTTGATGGATTCTCAGGCCAATTTTGATAGTCCATATCGTCGGAATAGCCGGATTCACTTCCATTATCGACTGCACGTTGCACAGACTTTGATTGCGCTCGGACGCCATCGGATGTCGCTGGTATTGGTGCATAAACGCCCGGGAACATGTCAATTAAATGATTCTTCACATTAGTCATCGGTTTTTTGGTTACCGATACCGGAACAAACGAACCGAATTTTTGCTTGATGAGACCGATATGTTCGGAGACTTCCTGAAAATTGGATAAAAATTGCTTTGAATAATACGATACTAAATAGATGAGTCTATTGCAATTACCTTGTAGCCAAGTTTGAGTTGTCCTTTCTGCTTCGAAGTCATATTTTTTGCTGCGACTGAATCGTCCACCGGAATTTCTTTTGAATACAGGAAACATTTATCAAACGGCACGTTGTCGGCTTCTTCATGGTCGCCAAAACATTGAATGACCGCTTTTCTTCCTTTTACCATCATAAGTTTTGCTGGCCATATGGGATACCTAGGGTTCATTAGAAGAAAAAAGCAAATAGTATAAATTAATCAACAATTATCCAAAGAATGTATAGCGAAATGCATAAAACGTCTCGGTGGTAGAACTCAAAAGGCCAAATAAATGAGCAAACTTTTTTTCTGACAAATAACGCTTGATTTTGGACTTGTCATACGGTATTACGATTGAATGTGAGTTGGTTTTTTTAATTTTATTAATTGTATAACAAAAAGCGGAAATTTTAGACAAGTGAACAAGCAACAATAAAATCAATTTCGAAATCGATAAAGAACAACAACCGTTTAATGTTAGCAATTGTTAAGTAATGGAATAGTAATTTTTAGGGTACCCTTCCACTTGAACGTAAAGCAGCAGATGCGGCTTGTCGCACACTTGTTTGAAGAAAGTTTTGGGGTTTCCTTTCTTCCAAAATGCATAACAATCTGCGCAAATTTCAATGGTGTTAGCTTCCTCCAGAAATGTTTTTCTGAACCATGTAGCCGCTTTTGCTTTTTTGCTTTTTTCTGCAACGATGACAAACAAATTAATTAATTTAATGTAAAAACGAAATCGAATAACATATTTTATTTCAGTAAAAACACACTTACTCCCAACACGAATGAATCTTTCGGTCCACGATTTGATGTCATCGCAAAATTCCTTGGCATTTTTGTAGTTACCTTTTCTTTTTATAATACGTTTGAAACCATCAACAATCGTTCCAGATTGCTCCAGATCACGTCCTTTTATATCGTTTTTCAAGAACGCGTACTAAAATGTTGATAAAAAATGAGCCAATATTAAATTTGTTTTAAGCCAAGCAGGAGGCGGTCTTCCAAAATGTTATTATACTGAACTTTTCTTACCTCTTCTTCGTTTATAAGTTCACCAAAAAAGTGTGTCAATAGCTGTACTTGTTTCCGTTGATCATTTTGATCATTTCTGAAGGTGCTGGTCTGCATTTTGTTTGAACTGTTTATGATGCAAAAAAAAGGAATTTCAGTTCAATTGATATAATTTGAAATAAATCATTCAAAATTGAAAAATTATGGCAGATCAAAAAATGTACTTTTATTAATTTCCAAAAACGAAAAAAAATGGTTAATTATGAAACAAATTATGTAAATAATGAATGAACCGATATCTGTCATATCTCCTATCGAACGCTGTAAACTAAACAGTTTAAAATATCGTTGACACAGCATTTTACGTTATTGTGCATATTTTTCCGAGAATTGTGAGTGCGAAAATTGGGTAGAATTGTCAACGAATTTTGTTTATTTGAATATCACGTATCACAGACAACAACAACAACAACAACAACAACAACATATAGTGGCAAGCAACAACAGTGCGAAAATACGCTTATTTGGGAGAACTGAATTTTATCTGAATAATACGACTCAGTGATATTCCTATATAATTCATTTGCTGAGTAATTTTGACGATGGCGGGACTTTTCGGAGTTTGGTGGAGATGACATACAAACTCGGTGTGTACGAGGGTAGCAGCACTTCTATGTGTATCATTCTTACGCAGATGATTAGTAAATTAGCTTTGTACGGCTACTGTGATGTTCGTTTGAACAAAATAAATCCGTGAACAGCAAAGAATGCTGTTGCACTCGTACACACAGCATTTACACACTATCTCCGCTGAACTCCGCACAGTCCCACCATCGACAAAATATTCACAATTGTGAAATTGAAATATTTTTACTTTTGATAATATGACACAACTGACTTTATAATTTTAAATGATATTTGTTTCGATCATGGAATTTTATTGTACGATAAAATAAAGAATTTTCACCAATCTATTTGATTTTTAAAATCAAAAAACGTACTCACTTACAAAATTAACACGATTTACAACTTTAATAAAACTGAACTTAGTTTTGATTGGATTGATCTGCGTGATCGGATGTTATAAGGATTAAGAGCAACAGCACACTGCACTGACTACCGATTTATCAATTTATAATACATTTGCGTGTAGTGACACAGAACGCAAGACCTAACGGGAACGTAATATGATCCGTTTTTTTCTCGACGATTCTTATTGCTTTGGAAAAGAGCAAAATGCTTAAATTATGGATATTTGTTTGAAGTTTCAACGGAACGATGAACGACTACAACAAAATTATATTTGATTTTCTTAAGCAATTAACGAACATTCTTTTGATTTTTCTTGTTTCTCTAAGAATGCATGATTTTCTCTCGTAAGACCATCACGCCATCTGTGCAGAATTATTAACTTCTTTATCGACAGTATTAACCAAAAAATTTACGCAAATAAAATCGTTCAACAAATTTTATTTTATAAATTCAATTGAATCAAAATAGTATTGTCGGCTACATGAAATCTCCTTCACATTAAGACTGGTTCAGAGTAAATTGCATTCTTCAGCACGTTCCTTTCCATGTGCCAATTGGACGCGTTCAAATGTCGGATAAATTGTATGTGTGTATGTGTGCGTGTGCGTGTGCGTATGTGTGAATTGTCAAAGCGAAATGCATAAAACGTCTCGGTGGTAGAACTCAAAAGGCCAAATAAATGAGCAAACTTTTTTTTTGACAAATAACGCTTGATTTTGGACTTGTCATACGGTATTAAGATTGAATGTGAGTTGGTTTTTTAATTTTAATTGTATAACGAAAAGTGGAAATTTTAGACAAGTGAACAAGCAACAAGTGCAAATTATAAAATCAATTTGAAATTGATAAAGAACAACAACCGTTTAATGTTAATATTGTCGGTTTGTTATGTAAGATTTTTTTTACATATCGATGTTTTGAGTGCAGTTTTTAATAATTTTTCGTTTAACTTCGATTAAATTTTATAAAAAATGAATGCATTAGTAGAATTTAAATGAAAATATCTTGTACTAAATCGAAAAACAATCATGTTGTAGTTACATTATTTATAAAATTTAACATGTCGGCGAAAAAAATATTTGTGTATGTTTCGAATGTGTGTTATGTTTTGCATATGATGCCGTTGACAACCTTTCCCTTTTGAACACTAATAACATCGATTAAGCCATTTTCGCATGATTGAACCTTGCAAAATAGATTAGAAATAGACAAAAAAAATGCGATCATTAGTTTGCTCAGTAATTTTGATGATGGGGCACAAATAGATTGTTAGTTCTGTGTAATCGGGGTTTTTATTTATTTATTTCAAATGAAATTTTGTACTTTATCAATAGCCTAGAAACTAAATTTTACTGTATTTTTGCTTTTTGAAATCTAAATCATATTTTTCTCTCTTCATTTTTCCTACAGATCGACACATTTTCGGCAAATTGAACGTGTAAAGAGATGATAAAAGTGTCGTGCTTTGTAAGACATTGACAAATATTTGTTTTTTTTTTTAATTTCAATTAAAAGTGATTGAAAATTTAGTCAAAAAAGTTGTGTATCGTAAAAAAAAGCCCGCAAACGAAACACGTTCATATAAAAACAAAATAAGTAAGCAGTTTATTCAATGAAATATACCGAATAATTAGTATCGGTTTGGCGTTAACGTGCGTGTAAATGTATGTGTGTGTGGGATACAGTGAAAAAGAAGAGAAAAAAAACCAAGCGCAAACATAACCTCAACCGACAACTGAAACACTTCAATCGAATCGTACACATTTCACACGAACGTAAATGAAACGTCAAAAGAAGTCGAAGCCGAAAATTAATCAAATTTTTATTCATTTTTTGTTGCTGCATTCGAATTTCTGTTCATATTCAAATAAATTCGATAAATATTTTTCAAGTGATTCAAAGTGTGTCGTTAAAATTGCAATAAATTTATTATTCCGGCAATAAAAAATCGAGATTGTGAATTCGATGGGTACACATGAAAATCTATCTCTCTCTAATTTACACTAAATAATCATTTTGATTGAATTGTACATTTGAAACAACGAGCATTTATATTTTTATTCAATCGAAATTGTCAATAATAATTAGAATTTTTTTTTCTATTGCAAATGTAAACACAAGTTTGTGCCGCAATCATTTTAACAGCGACAATTTTAATAAACAAATTTTTGACAATTCGCCGGAATACACATTCGAATTGCATATAAATCAACATACATACAGTGTTCAATTGAATGTTCATTCAACGGCATGTCATCGTTTAGAGGGAAACCTGTAGCACAATCGAGCATTCCATATATGTCGTCGGCAACAATGCTACCACCACCGGTAAACAACTTCTTTTATCTACGGCTTTGTTTTTCCGAAATGTTCTAATCGCATTAATTTTCTATAGAATGCATCAACGTTGCCGTCAATGAATCAACCGCCACCATCACATGCGAATGCATACCGATCGGGACCTCAGCTATATGCTCGACCAACACCATTGGAAACAACGACAACAAATGCAACACAGCAACCGTACAATACATTGCCGAACACAATACCGTCGGCAACCTCAGGGTCAACGGCAGCTGGTGGTGTGACTGGGACCACTGAAACCGCCGGTCCCGTTATCACGGTTTTTGTTGGTAATATTAGCGAACGTGCACCTGAACACATGATTAAAAAGATATTGGCAACGGTTGGTGCGGTTATCAATTGGAAACGTGTCTCAACATTTGGCTTCTGCGAATATGAGTGAGTGTTGTGGCGCGCACACACATTTTTTTTTGTCGAAATAATTTTGATTTTGAAAATGTTTTTTTTTTTCATACAGCGGTCCAACGGCTGGATTACGTGCGGTGCGTATATTGCATGACTTAGATGTGGCCGGTAAAAAATTGGTTGCCAAAGTTGATGCAAAAAATAAACTACTTTTGGATAATTACAAAGAGGAAGAAGGTGCTAGAAATATTGGCAATGAAGATGCTAGTGAAGCCCATGAAAAGAAAGAAGATGCCGATGTTTTTGAAGCAATAAAACAAATTCTGTCCGATCATCGTTCGGAAATAGAAAATTATGAAGCAATTCAAGGTTTGTATTTTATTGAGAATTTAAAAGAAATGAGAAAAAAAAACACACTAAATTTATTCAATTGAATAATTCATTTTTGACAGAGCAAAAATCCAATAAAATGTTACAAAGCGCAAGTATCGAAGAGGATAAACGTGATTTAATCAATAGGGAAATTGGTAAATTTCGAAAAACAGCCGAAGCTGATGAACAGAAGAAGGAAAAGGAAAAAGATCGACGAAAACGTGAAGAAAAGGAACGAGATAGAGATCGAGATCGTGCCAGAGGTTCATTGTCACCGCGCAAAGATAAAGATAAAAAAGCATCACGGCGTCGAAGCAGGTCTAGAGAACGTTCAAAGGTAACATTTAAATTTTTGAAATGATTTAACGACGCGTTAATAACGATGGAACTTTTTTTGTTGTCTTGAAATAGGAACGTGAACGTGAGAAAGAGCGCGAAAGAGAGCGTGAAAGAGAACGAGAGAGAGAACGTGAAAGAGAGCGTGAAAGAGAACGTGAGAGAGAACGTGAACGGGAAAGAGAAAGAGAACGAATGTGAGTCACAATTTATCAACAATTTCCATTGTTGTGTTGGTTCGTTGCAACTAATTTAAAAAAAAAAATATTATTCATGTTTTGCAGTGAACGTGAAAGAGAACGCGAAGAAAAGGTTCAGAAGGCTCCACGTGATTTACAACGCGAAAAAGAAATGGAAGAAGAGTTGCGCGAACGAAAGAAGGCGGAGAAAAAAGCCCGCGAAAAAGAGGCAGCTTATCAAGAGCGATTGCGAAATTGGGAGATTCGTGAACGACGTCGGGCCAAGGAATATGAACGAGAAAAAGAGAAAGAACTTGAGAAAGAGGAAGAAAGAGAAAAAGAAGCAAAAAGATTGAAGGAAGTATGTATTATTTTGAATGTCTTTTTGTCATTGAGACTCTTATCTAATGTGTATTCCTTTAAATAGTTCCTTGAAGACTATGAAGATGAACGAGATGATCCAAAATATTACAAAGGGCAGGAATTAAAACGGCGTCTGTACGAACGTGTTAAGGAAGCAGAACAAGACACTAAAGACAGAAATAAAGAGCAAGAAGGTAAGCTAAAAAAAATGTGTATCCACAAAGAAACGCTCAACTAATTACACCATATGCGGTTTTCATTACAGAATTAGAAGAATTGAAAAATAAAATATTCAGTGGTGAATACGATAATCCAACGCAAGAATTTGAACGTTTAAAGAAACAACGCGAAGAATTGTACAAACCGAAATTATTAATTGATGTAAATTTGGAGCAATCACAGCAACGTGAACGAGAAATTCAGCGCGAACGTGAACGTGATGCTGAACGACAAAGTCTCAAGGATCGCGAACGTGCACAAAAAGAGCGATATGTTATGGCACAGGCATCAAGAGAGCTTGCATCGCTCAATGCCGAACCAATTGACTCAACCGACTCGAGCAACGATGATAATTCACCGCTAAATAACAAGTAAGTTTTCGTGTGTGTGGGTTCGCCGAATGGTTCTTTATTGAATGTTTTAATTTTTTGTTTGCAGTAGTCGAGGCTCTGAATCTAGGGACACGCATTTCAATTCAAATAGCAATGGCATGCCAAATGATGAAGATTCACGATCTTCAATGCGGTCCATCAAATCGTTAAATAGTCCGGCAAGTATTGAAACACCACCATTGATTGCGCCAGCCATTAGTTTAAATTTGAATGCAAATGCAAAGAAAAAGCGATTAGAAGTCAAGGATATTTTTAATAATGATGAAGATAACGAAGATATTAACGGACCAAAACGACGAAAGTTAGTTCCATTAGGTAAGAATATTCTTCGGGCACACTCATATTTGGATATGCCATTAAAACTGATAGAAAATTCAAAATCCACAGATTATGAGGACAATATAAATTCAAAAGGGCAAAAATCATCAAGTAGTAATACAAATTCGGATGGTGGTGGTGCTGGTCAAGCCGCAACTGCATCAGCAACAAACAATAATTCATCGTCTAAACGAAAAGATGGTCGTAACGATGAGAATAGCAATCGAAAGGAAGAAAATGTACGAAGCCAAGAGGAGAAACGACGACACATTAAAAGTATTATCGATAAAATTCCAACCGGCAAATCGGATTTGTTCAATTACAAATTGGATTGGAATGAAATTGATAACACGCTGATGGAAAAAAAAATTCGACCGTGGATCAATAAAAAGATCATCGAATATATCGGCGAACCAGAGCCAACGCTAGTCGATTTCATTTGCTCAAAAGTGTTAGCCGGCAGCACACCACAGGGTATACTAGACGATGTTCAAATGGTATGACAACGACTCTGCGCTTTTATTTTTGAAAAAAAAAAAACTAAATTGATTGTTTTTTATTGTGCTCTTTCAGGTATTGGACGAAGAAGCTGAAGTATTTGTGGTAAAAATGTGGCGACTTCTAATTTATGAAGTCGAAGCGAAAAAAGATGGCTTAGGAAAATAAATAAATAATTTCCACATTTCGGTCCGATGCAAAACAAACACATATTTCATCAAATAAATACAAATAATTCTTTTCGCATAAGTTTACTACATATTAGAGCTATGTAATGTTTCTTTTTGGTAATTATTCGTAATAAAGCTAAATCTGAAGAAGAAAACGAAGATTATAAGAAGATCTTTTGCGTTTTTTTACTCGAAACAATTTTTTTTTTTTGGATTTCCCAATTTCGTTGAAAATAAGATTGTTTTCATATTTTTCAACGATATATTTGAATGCTTTTGCAAAGTTCATCTTTCGATCGTTTCAATTCTCATCCGTGGTGGTTCGTGTTAGCATTTCGTAAAGCAAGTTGAAATTGTTGAAATTGCTCGTTTGCAAATGTTTAATCTATTCAAAATACGTATGACTCAATGATTGAACGTTACGCATGTCATGATTTTGATTCGTACGTAAAAAAACATCAAACGCATTAATATTTGCAAAGAAGATGATGTATAACATTTCAAGGTTACATGTATTTATCGATCTGAAAACCAAAATTTATTAATAAATTTCAACATTATGGCATCACAAAACGTTCAAACGAAAAAAGTGGGAAAAAACGATAAGAAAGAACGTTAAGTGTCAAATAGACGCATACACTTGAACATGTGCACGCATACAGATGTATACAGCGCGCGCAAACACATACATGTACACAAAATAACGACATTTGTCGTTATGTTTAAATGAACTCATCGTTTATACGGTGTGAGTCAAAAAGGCCATTTCGAGCGACGTACATTTCAATGTTAACAGCGACAGCAACAAGCTAAACACATTTTAACGGATTTTTCCATAAACAATTTTGTGAACAAGACCCGAAAAATGTAAGAATTTTTCTTTTTAAGAACAATCAATAACATTATCACTTAATTTTTTTGCCCAACAATTTCGAAATAAAAGTAAATTTGTGTAAAAAAAATTGTATATAGAAAGAAAAAAACGTGTTAGTGTATAAAAATAATTTCTTATTCATGCATTAAACATTTTGTGATTTTTTTTCTATTTCTTTTACCGAAACATTAGAAGAGCGGAAACGACGTCAGATACATATTGAGTATATTGTAAAGCGATAAAAACAAAACCATCATCATGTCGAGCACATCACAAAAGCATCGTAATTTCGTGGCCGAACCGATGGGAGAGAAGCCCGTCACCGATTTAGCGGGAGTTGGCGAAACGCTTGGCAAACGTTTGACCGATGCTGGTTTTGACAAGGCCTACACTGTCTTAGGTCAATATTTAATTTTGAAAAAAGACTCGGAATTGTTCAAGGATTGGATGAAAGATACGTGCAATGCAAATGCAAAACAAGCCACCGATTGTTACCAATGTCTCAGCGATTGGTGCGAAGAGTTCCTTTGAACTCAACTTTTTTTATTTAAACAAAAAAAAAAATTCTTTTTTTTTTTAAACTAAACTATACTCTTTTATTTTAACATTGAATTGAGGAACGACATGATCAAATGTAATGTTTGTAGGAACAACGTGTGAAATCATCGAAATAAATCTATATTATTGAATTGAGTCAGAGAATGAATTTCGATTGTGTTTCTTTTTGTATTACGTTTCGATTTTCAGATTATATGGATAACAATAACATTGGTGAAAAGCGGGTAAGATTCCAAAGGTTGACAATGGCAGTTAACCTCAAAACTTTATTTTCGCAAAAATAAATTAGCATATACCAACATTTTTTGATGTAAACATTTTCACAATGTGATGAAATATCTGAATAAAAATGACGTTGCTTCGATTCAAACGATTATGTGAGATTTTTTTTATTAAACATACACATACTGATGTATTCACATTTGTCAATTCGCTCAATTCGGATAGATGAAATGCAAGCGTATGAGAAAGCGTCACATAAGCCATTGCATTCGACACAACGTTGATGCATATACATACGTTGATTTTTCGTTGTTGTTGTTGCTGTACACTATCTGACATATACCGAATACTGTTTGTGCTGGTACTTCTGCTTTCTGTTGGTGTTGTTGTGCGTTTGGAGTCTATCCCTCTCTCGTTCTCGCGCTCACTGAAAAACCATAAACAAAGCAAGCGTTTGTTGTACCGGCAATACACATTGGTGTTTGGTGCAAGTCGTCTGTCGCATCAGTCGAGCAAAAAATGTTGATATGAACAGATGTGCGTGTGTTCATTCGTCCGTTCCATCGCATTCAACATCACATCATTTTCTCTCATTGCATTCAAATTTATAGTATAAAATATTTAATTTTCGATTTAGTGAATACATATGTTGCACATATTCGAATCACATGCGCATAAATTAAATGCCACATAAAATGAGTGAATTCCGTTTGTGTGCACAAATAACAAATCAAATGCATAAATTAGCTAAAATAAATACCAAAACAAACGTGATTTTCCTTTGATTTATATAAAAACAACAACACTCAAATCAATTTCTGCATATCGTGTGGTATGCGTGCATTTTTATATGCTCGTCTGTTAAATAGCCAAAATGAACGAATAAAAGTGTAATATAAAGAGGAAAATGCATAATTTTTCTTATTTTTAATGTTCAGACCACATGTGTGTTGTGGTTTTGATCGAAGTTGAAACGATTGTGAAAAGAAAAAAAGAATGACAAAAAACATATTAATTGTGTAAATAACTGATGAATGAACATCAAGCAATTCAAGAAATGGAATGCTATGCATTAAAAGTATGTGAAATTTGATTTTGTTTGAATTCCATTTGTGAAGTGAATTGTTTAAAAACAAAAAAAAAAAATCACCAAAACAAATCGAATGTGAAAAACTAATGGTGTTTGTTTGGATTGTTGAATATTTGGAATCATTGATTTGAAGAACTGAATCTCTCCGATTTAAATGAAAATTTCCAACATCAAAGGCAATTTATAATGGAAATAAATCAATTTGAAAATTAAACTGAATTTAACCCAAAAATATCGTCGAAACGCATCATATAATTCAAGGGTAACCGCTAGACATACGATCAATTCCGTACTCTATGCAGATAGAGAGAGAGATAGTGAGCGATAGAAAGAGAGCGAATACAACAAAAAAAGAAGCGATCGTGTGTTATTTTTCACGTAAAATGAAAAACCAAAAAGACGGTCGTTGTGATCTAATATGATGCGTTGATTCATCACACATGATGGCTGTTTAATGCTTACAAATTTGTTCTTTCATCTCATCATCAACATCGCGTTCATATCCTCATCACATGAAAGGAGCATAAAAGTGAATATATATATATACATTTGAAGCGATAGTAAAAAAAAGGCGAACAAAATTTGAAACGGAAAATATCGTGAACATAAACAAAGTGCTAAAGAGAGAACAAAAACGAAAGAAATTCGCTATGGTATGGATCACAAACATCGAAAATATATATTGTGTACGAAAAATTGAATCTGGAAAAATTTTCAAGCGTATAAATTAAGAGGAGGGTTCTTGAAATCTATATATATAAAAGCAGCTAGTAATAGCTAAAATTGAAAAGAATGCAAGAGAGCATCCCAATTGTATTGTGTGTGTGTTTTTTTAAGGAAAAGAATTAAACTTGAGGGCAATAAACGTATTGTGTGTGTGTGAGAGATATTGAGATAGAGTGAGAGAGAGTGCATAATATTCATAATCATAAAAGTATTGATTGTAATTAACCGCATCCAATCAGTAAGACGTGAAACTGATCATAAAATCACCGACTCTGACAATGCAGTCTTAAGCGCGAGCATTCACGATAGAGAGACAGAAATAAAAAAAACAAGCGAATGAACGAAAAAAAAGGATTGATTTAAAGAGGCAACCTACTAAAATCCCGAAACAAAAGAAATACATGCATGAGGCCCACTAATAGCACTGAAGAACTGCAAGAAAAACAACCGGTTAAAAATAAATACACAACATTAAAAGAAGCGCACCGACATAGTTGAAAAAAAAAACAACAACCAAAACCATAACTAAGAAGACACAAACGAACGGAAGAAAGCGTACCGAAAAGAAATAAAAGATTCGAATACAACGGCTGAAGCGCGCTCGGGCAGTAATATACACATAACACAGTGTACAGGAGAGAAGAACGAAGCAAGCAAAAAAAAAAACATACAAGCAATCAACAACCGATTCTCACACACTCGGGGATTACACTCTCGAGTTTGCAGAAAACAGAGACAGACCGACCGAACACACACACAAGAAAAAGATATATACTTGGAAAAAGAAGCGACGCGCGATCGATCGACAGACTATCCACCGACAGACAAGCGCTAAACATAAAAGAAACAAACGCAAGATACCATTGAACAGCAACCACACAGCAAATTTAACAGAATAAAAAAAAGCACCAACAACAACATAAGTAGAGAAAAAAAAAGAAGAAGAAAAGCAGCACTAACACAAAAAGTAATATGATCAGCAACGAGAAAACTTATTTGTTTTTGTTGGCATTTATGATATTTTCGTCGGCATCGCTTTGTAAGTACAGCGCTAATTTTGCGATATATATTTTTTTTTCCACTCGCCTCTCGCATTTGGTTGCGTTTTTGTTGTTTTCTTCATATAATTTTTTTTCGTACGTTGAATTGTACATGCACATGCATACGATATATGCACAACAAAAAAAAATGTGATACGAACGCATTCTGACGGTGTGTGCCATTATTTTATATATATATTCATATTTCTCTATCCATCTGCATATTGTCCTCTTTCACTGCACAAACACACACACTTTCGGAAGAAAGATTCAACTCAACTCAACTCCATGGCATTGCAATGCTCATTGTGCAAAAGAGTCATGTACTGTTTGTTTGTTGTCGTTCTTTTTAGTTTTTTTCAACATTTTCAATTTTCTCACTTGCACAATTCATACGCGAGGTAAATAAACATTACTGTTTAATTTACATCTTCTTCTTGTTTTTTTTATTCGCAAATGCGCACCGTATCTCCTGTTCTCTCACTCGTTTGCACTTGCTCTCAATGATGTAAAATCGACTAAATTCGAAATTAAATACGAGTATTCCGTGTGAACAATCTGAGCAATTGGAATCCAACAAAAAGGAAGAGAACGAAACGAAAAAAAAAACAAAAACAAATCTAGATATTTTGTGTGAATAAAAAAACACACACGCAGTTGCATGTGCAGATATCGATTTATTTCAACTCGAATTGTAACCATTTTATTTTCTCTCAACTTAATTTAAATGTGTGCATAATGTTTGTTTATTATTATCCTCCAATGCCGCATTAACAGATGCAATCGATGATGGATTTGACACCGGTACGAAAGTGGTGGTACAAACCGTTGAAGCCATTGAAAGTGAGTATATTGTCTTATCATGCGGACGAACAACAAAGATGTCTGTGAACAACAACGATGTGAAGTGGTTTTTTAATGGTAAATTTTACTTAATGATACCGGTATTTACGTATTTTTAACCGTTTTATTTTGTGATTCGAATATATTACACTCGATATGCCCGATTGAAACGCACATTCGCTCCATATCGACTACCTGAGAGGCTCTTAGGTGAGAGCACATAGTAAAAAATAAATGGGGTACAGCATTATTAACATGAGAGCATGGGGTATATAATTATTTTGTCTCAAGAGGCTTCAAAATCATTTCAATGAAAATAACACCTTGAATTTCGATAAGAAAAAAAAGAGAGAAGAGTGTGTGTGTATGTTTATGATTTCACACTTTTGCGGCTTAGAACAAAAAGCAAACAAGTAAATAAGGTGAATAAATCTCTACACTCAATCAGAATTTAAATTTTGTGTTTCTCTCTTCTTTCATCATCAAAAATTCGATTCTTTCTCTCTCTCTCTCCTGATTTTTGGTTTTAGTTTAAAATTTAGCGAGAAAGAAGAAAAAGAATACAGGCGGCTCTATGACAAAAAAAAAGAGAGTTCAATAAAGATTTACAACATTTTCGTTTTAATTCCATCACTCTATCTGCATATAATTTTCGTTGAAGATCTGTGCGCATGATGAGTTGTTGTTGTTTATCTAAGCCTCAGAAAATTCTTTAGATTCATTTCGATCTCAAGCCGTGTATACATTATAAAATGTTAATCTGGAGAATAACGACCACGAACGAAAAAATGAATGCTGATACGAATGAACAAATATTGAAGAAGAAGAATTGAAAACGAAAAAAAAATTCCTTTTTTTATCTCTGAATGTTTGAGAGTTTGTTCTAAAATGTACGCTCTTCACTCAACAATGTGACCTGTGAAACATTTCGTATCATAGAATCGCAGCACAGCACAGTGTTGAAATGCGTTGATATTTTGGAAAATCGGACTTGTTTATCTTCATATCGTGTGTATTTATATTCGTTTTGTTTGTATTATCATTCAATTAAGCTAATGTTCTATTTTAAACATTTTTTTTCCCATCAAATTTCCACACCAGATATTTTAGTGGCAAATCAATCAAAACGAAAAATCGAAATCAATGGTGATCTTCACATAAATTATGTACAACGAATGGATAGTGGATATTATCGTTGTGTATGGAGTCAAGCTGGCGAACATAATCGACGCACTGAAATCACAAAAATCATAAAACTGGATACAATTTGTAAGTAAATATTGAATAATGCTTTTGTTTCAACATATAAAATGATAATACGCGAAGCAGCATTTGTCTATGGAGACTCATAAAATTGTGTTATCGCTTGAAAAAAAAGAAATGATGTTGACAGACAAACAGCAATTTATCACCGAAAAATTCAGAATAAGAGCACCATTTTTCACTGTTTTCTATCATTTAAAATATTATGTATGCCAGAGAGACGAACAACCAAAAAAAGAAATGGATGGCCATATAAAATAAAAGATTGACGGTCATCATCATAGACGATTGTTCGTCTTATAGTTAGTGATATGTATGTTATGTGTTACACAGTGTATGCGTTCATACTAAAAATATGCATTGTTCATTGGAATATTCCATGCGCTTATCTTCGTTAGGACAATAGCAATGCAAACACCATACAAAACCCACCCCGTCACAAAATCAACCTTATTTCCATTTTCGAGAAACACAACATAAACATAAAACGCATTCGCTCGTTAGGTTTTTAATTATGCTTGTGCTTCGCTTTTGCTCAACTGTGTTCACTTCTCCAAATCGTCTATATTTATATGCCATTTGCCCGAACATCGGCAGGATTACAATCGTACATAGAAAAGGATTTCAAGTCAACTAATGTAATAAAGAACATTAGGAAAAGTTATTTATTTGACGCGCGTTGCGTTCGTTCCACGTTCGATGGTAGTTTTCAGTTTGTTTACTATTGGGTGCAATTTTCGAGGCGACAACTCGATAAAAACCCGGCAATTCTGTAGTATTTTCCACTCTATCCCTCTTTCACTCGGCATCTAAGCATTGTCAGTTCACCGTACCTTTGCATTCGCCTTTTTTCATACACATTCTTTCATGCTCATATTGTCTGGTCACTGCTTTTGACTGTTTTTTTTTTTGTGTGTTCAGGACACAAAAATGAAAAAAAAAAATTGTATGTGCGTCTTTTGAAGCGGTCGTGCAGAGCCAATAAGCGTAGCGCATTCATTGCATATATTGTTTGACTTATATAGAAATGGAATCGCAACATTTTTTCTTCTGTCTTTCTTTCTTTCGTCTCATTTCTTTCTCATTTCAAACTGTTTTCATTGAGTCAAGTCGCGTATTCATCGTGCAAAATTCAAGCATTATACGATATGAATGCATGTTGCATTATAGAATTTTCTATGTCTTATCCCGAGTTCAGTGAGAGCAAATTTAGCAAGACCAGCGTCAATAAATGCAGTATGCACCTTTTTTTGTCCCGGCACACAAAATATGTTATCAAGATTTTTCGCAATTTATAATAATGATATTTTCTCTCTCTCGTTTGCATTTGCGAAAAAAAAGTTGTGTTTTTTTTTTATTAATTTCGCTATTTTACCAGATTTAATCTGAGCCATTGTCTCGTAGAGAAAACAAATTTTCATTCAAAATAGATGAATTCTGTTGAATTAACAAACAATTTTGAATGAATGTTGTCGTAGATGCATCAGATACGAAAAAAGACCATTTCGTTTCTCTCTTTTTTTTGAATACTCAATTTCATCTGATGTGAATTATATGGATACGAAAATGAATGAAGTTTGTCGGATGTTTTCAATTTGAAAAAGTGGTCTGTTTTTCCAAACCCTCAACATAACCGATGAACAGAGCACACAAAACCCGAAAAAAGAGAGAGAGAAGAAAACAATATCCAACTAATCGAGCGCAATGGAAAATCATAAGGCATAAAACGAGTAACGCAAACAAAAAAAAAAGAGGAAAAGGATCAATTTAACAACGAGCAAGTGAAAAACAAAACAAAAATACACAAACTAGCTATGATTTTATTTCGCATATTCGACAGGAGAGAAACTGTGAGTGAATAACGCACACATCAGGATCGTCTCACTCTCTCTCTTTCTCTCGCTTTTTCGTCTCCCCTAACTCACTTTATGGCAACTCGAACCGTTATATCTCGACAGAAAGAGAGAAAGAGAGAGACCAAATCCCCATATCGGTCTTCACCGCCGTTATTGTCGAGCACAAAGCCGTACACATAAACCGTACCCGAGCCAAATAAAAAACGGTCATAAAATTTTACGAGCAACGCTCCGAACATTGTTCCAAGTCCTTACATGCATACGTTGTCATAGTAACGTTGAAATGGTTACGGTATTACCGTCGAACTTTTCTCTATAGATAGATATGTATATTGTGCATTATTACAGCGCGCGCGAGAGAGCGGTGTGTACAGTATATATATTTGTACGTTCCATGGGTGGTAAACGTAACAAACAACTGCTATGATATAGTTAGATTTTATGATCGTCGTCGTCATCGTCATCAAGCGCACGATGAATCAACCAAGAAATGTGTTCCTTAGCTTTGGATAAGTAAGTCTTTATTGCAAGGAAATCGTAACATTGAGCGCGCTCAAATCACAAAGACAAAAAGATTTGGCATACGAATTGACAAAAAAACCGACTCTTTGGAAATTGGATTTTTTTTTTTGCAGAATTTACTATTGAAGCGAAATAATTTAACACGATCTATATTGTACATAAAGAAAAATAAATCCATTTTTTTGTGTTTGCAAGCGCAAACATTGACTTTGCTCTCACATTATTCATTCATATTTACTTGCTTGTAGCGTTATGATGGATTGCGTTAAATTATCAAATAGTTTTTTTTTTGTTCGTTCGTCATTGCTTGCAGCATTGATGCAATGCGTTCACAATGATATTATCAGAAATTCCATATACAAACAGTGATGCGCGATTTTGCTCTCATTTCATATAACACAATACAATATATTAACAATTTTATAATATACTTGTGCCACACAATTTTGGCAGAAAATGTGATGAATCCAATAAAAACCCGATTCCATCTCAACAGATGATGCAGTTTAAATGCCATAAAAAAAGTCTTTTACTAGCTCGAACGGAAAATACGTAAACGCTTATCAGTATTATACAGAACATCATATATATTCAGTATTATAGAGAGAAAGAAAAACCAATCTATATTTATGCTCTTTTCAAATTATATCACATATATAACGTTTGAATGATAGAAGAGGGCTTTATGCTCACTGTAGGTTTTCTATTTTAATTGAAATACTAATTTTAAAGTATGAATCTAGAAATATAAAAAAAAATATTGTGTGCGCCCATCTAGATAGCGAACAAAAGGAATTCTTCTTTTATTTTCATATTTTCAACTCGAAAGCTCTCATTATTAGTCTGATGAATAGAAAATTTATTCCAACACAGTGAGAAGCAAAAAACAAGAGAAAAGAAACGCTATTTTTATGACAGAAACATCTGAATACAACAAACTTCTATTATCATTTCTCTGCAGGGTTAACAGCTGCTGAAGTAATGTATACATCGTCATCGCTTGATGGGCATAAATTGTCGTCATCATTGTCATCAGCAATTATACTAAAATGTCACGTAAATGCAAACCCCATTGACGAGGTGCGATGGTTTAAAAATGGTAAACCAGTTAACTCGATCGGTCCCTTGGTCATTCGACATCCAACACAAAATAATAATGGCAATTACAAATGTATGGCACGCAACAAAATTGGAATGGTAGTCAGCGAACCGTATCGCCTTGAAATTCATGCAAATAATGCTCACAATGCCATACATTATGGGGTTTCTTGTGAACCAAAGATCACGCGACGCAATACAACCAACAGCAATCAATATGAAAAATCACTACTTTGTCGGTATAAGCGTGGTGGTCGATTGCATCGCAAACGTTCGGCATCGGAAGGTGGCGGAAGTCAAATCGCATCGTCGACATCAAAACGGAAGAAAATTAGCATTGCCGAAGACAATTCAGCAACGATAAATTGTGATGTGAGTCGTTTAGATCGCAAAGGAAATCAGGTGTCGGTTAGATGGAGAAAAGATGGTAAAGTGTTGCGCCAAGCAAGTTTAAACGAACAAAGTTTATCGCACACAAATACAATGGAAACACCTCTGTTAAGTCGCGTTAATATGGACTCGAAAAATGGATCGATAACCATTGCAAACACCATACCATCCGATGCTGGTATTTATGAGGTAAGCTATATTTTGGACTATGGCCAAAAACAAAAAAAAATCATTTCCCTTTATCCAATCATTGTTTCGAATTGATTGCAGTGCACCATACTACGAAATGGAAATGCCGTACAAAGTGTCCAAACGACCGAATTGAATATAATTGAAAAGCTTAAATTTACACCGCCACCAACGTCAAAGGGTTTGGAAATTGGCAGCGTTGCTAAAATTCATTGTAAGGCTCAAGGAACGCCAACACCTCAGATTCAATGGACTAAAGTAAGTTTTCTTTCAATAATCCTAAGCATTAAGTGTTAGATTAGCAATGTGAAGTGTTTTTTAAATTTACAATAGAAAGTTCGTTTTCTCCTCCTTTTTAATTCATGGCCATTATTTTCTTTGTAGGATTCAACCAACAATTTACCCGATTCCGTTGAGGACATCAATGGTACACTGATTTTTAAAAATGTGTCTGAGTCCAATCGTGGCAATTATACGTGCCGCGCCGCCAGTAATCAAGGTGAAATAAGTGCAACTGTTATAGTAACACCGGTTATTGCGCCAAAGTTTCTTGTCAAACCGCAAGGTGCAATTCAAGTAAATGAAATGGGCTCTGTAATGATTCATTGTTCAGCGATTGGTGATCCAAAGCCAAAAATTCAATGGGATAAGGATTTCGATTATTTAAACATCAGCAACTCGGATGCAAGCCGCTTGAATGTATTGGAAAATGGAACACTCTATTTCACCGAAGTTCATTTAGAGGATGAAGGGCTCTATGGATGTAAATTTTAATCCATTTTTAATTCCTTTATAAAATACAATTATTTTATTAACAAGAAGTCATTCCCATTATATAGGCACAATCGGCAGTAGTGCTGGATTGAAACGTGAGGAGGCACATTTAAGCGTGAGACGTAAGTTTTTCGATTTTGAAATAAAAATGGTGGAAAAAAACATTGAATTATCAATTGCTTTTACAGCTTCCGAAGAACAAATCGCCGATGATGGACAAGAGGGAAGTTTTTTCGTTGTTCGAGCTGTCCTTATCACAGTCACCGTTGTCTTTTCGTATATCATTTTGGTGGTAGGTCTAATGTTTTGGTGTCGTGTTAAACGTAAAGCACGTAAAAATCGTATGCAACTCATTGCAAAAGAGAATGTCGACACATTATCACGAAATGATACAAAGCCAACGGAACCAAATGATGAGAATGAGCCATGTTTAGCAGAGAGAAATCACAAAAAGACTGAAAAAGGTTGGAATGGAACGAGCAATGGTGTCGGTGGTCATAATGATGCCACTAAAACCGATACATCAAACGCAAACAACACAAAGCAACCGAGTAAATCAAGTTTAGAACAAATCACCATACCTCGTGGTATTCTATTCGATTTAACACAGATTGGTCGCGGTGAATTTGGCACCATTCATACGGCCAAAGTGAAATTTTGTGATTTAAAGCAGCATTTGGATAAGGAAACTGTTGCAACATTAACGGTTGAAAATGAACGTGAACACCAAAAATCAAATGGTACCATTGAAAATGCTGATGAAATTAAACAAGTTCCCGAACACACCGATGACACTGTTAATTATGCATTGATCAAAGCGCTCAATAAAGTCAAAGATGAAAATGTATGCATTGAATTCCGTCGTCAATTGGACCTATTCCGAGCCGTTTCACATAATAATGTTGTAAAATTGTTTGGTTTGTGCCGTGATAAAAATCCACATTATTTGGTTCTTGAGCACACTGATCTTGGCGATTTAAAGGAATTCCTCAGTGCACGTGTCGATCAATTGTCTGATCTAACATCGAAAAATGGTATCGTTCCGAAAATAAATAACGCCGATAAATGCAAAATAGCAACAATAAAATTGCCACAATTGCTATTGATTGCACAGCAAATTGCACGTGGTATGGATGCAATATATCGTGCACGATATATTCATCGTGATTTGGCCGCCCGAAATTGTGTTATCACATCCGATTTAACCGTCAAAGTATCGTATCCAGCCAATATTAAAGATAAATATGCTCGTGAATATTATAAATTAAAAAGTAGCATGGTTCCGTTACGTTGGATGGCCCCCGAATGCATTGAGGATGATGATAATACCATCAAAAGTGATGTCTACTCGTTTGGCGTTCTCATTTTGGAGTTGTTCACATTTTGTTCAGAATTACCACTTGCACAGGTGTCCGATGATGATTATTTTAAACAACTTCAAACCAATTCAATTGAACGCAAATTGCCCGATTTTCTGCCAGACGATTTATCCAACACACTGGTGAGCATTTTTTTTATTTTCTCACTTCAGCTTCTATTTAAATATAAAACTGATTTTTAAATGTTCAATTTCAGTCCTCGTGTTGGAAAACAAATCAAAAGGAGCGTCCGTCGTTCAGTACTCTGAATACATCGATCTCGAAATATCTACAGCAAATTGACGCAAATGATCAAGCTCACACATAGATCACATATTGTGACAGGACAAATTCTTCAAAAAATTACTCTTCCAAATAGAAACGAAAAATTTAGTTCATAGTTTATTTCATTTAAAAATTAAAAAGCAATAGTTACAGACAACGAAGGAATCAATGCATTCGAAATGTTCGATGAAATCGATAAAATTCTTAACCAACACTGCAGCATTGAAGCTATCAAGCCATAATTATTTTTAATATAGTTATTGCATTTGGTTTCTCACCGCATCTTAATTTCTTTTTTAAATGTGTTTTCCATTTCCATTGCGTGAGTTTAATTAAATATTTTTTTGTAGGTATTACATTGGATGTTTATGTATTTTCTTGATTAACAAGAAGAATAAGAAGATGAAACAATTAGAGAGCATAATTAGCATTATCTCCCTAACTATTGTAGTTGAATTTTAAACATTTTAAGTATGATGAAAATAGACACTGTGACTCACTTATGTTGAGTTCCGATGTTTCCAAACAACAATAATAATATTAATAACATAATTGTATTCACACACAAAAAAGGTCTTCTCTCATGTCCGTTGGTCTTTTGCCAAAAACATTATTATTGAAATGTGTATAAAAAAATCATCCGGAGTGAGATTTTTTTGTTTTCTTTTCCTTCAATTTGGACACATCTAGTTATCGCATTAGTTATTGTCTCTAGTCTAAATGCAAAATGATAATTGCAAATTTAAAATATAAAATTGAAAACAACATCAACTACAATTGTTGATCGATTTAATCACATTTATTTTTATTTTCCGTTTTTTATTATATTTTTAGTACATTCATAATTTAAAAGAAATTGAACAGAAAATTTGTATTTTGAAGTAACGAAGAAATGATGTATTTACAAATTTTACATTTAAACATATTTAATAAAATATGCATTCACATTTGCAAATGCATAGACATTTTATTGCATTCGATTTTTTTCTCGCTTTTTTTTCTGTAATAATTCAATATTTTAAATAGATTTCGTCTTCAGTTCTTTTCATAGATGAAGGGCATATATAAAGTAATGCTTTCGTAATAGAAACTAAATGCAATATAAAACGTGAAAATAACCCAATAGAATGGGCTTAATCAAGCTCATTTATAAAATATTCTAATATTTATATTTTATGTATGTTCATTTTTTGGATCATGCATTCGACTTTACTAATTCATCAGATAACAGTGTATGTGCAAAACAATATCATTCTTCCAAGATGAATCAATTTCAAGTTTAAAAACAATTCTCAAGAAAAAGCTTAGCTTTGCTTGAATTGTACGCTGTCTAGTGATTTTGCGCGCATTGTTCTAAAAATGAGAGTAGAAAATGGTGAGCATTATAATTTTTTTTTGAAATATTCTATTGAAAATGAGCCAAAATTAGGTAAGACAAATTGGACTTACCTTCTTCGAGCTACATCGAGAATTAGTGGGCCCTCTTTAATGTTTTTGAACATGGCAATTACTTCTAAATGACTCATGCCTTTCAATGATTCATTGTTCAAAGATAATATTTCATCACCTGTGCGAGTAGAAAATATATTTTTATATAAATATTTGAAATTTTGAATTGATCAAGTTTTAAGCAGTATAATACTGCCTGTATTTTTTTAATCAAATGGTTTAAGGTAAGGCTGCCAGATCGTCTGAGAAAGAACCAGATTTCACCCGGCTTTAGAATTTTCGTCAATTTTTTTAGCATGACTTCAATAATTTTGAATTTTTCTTTGTCATTTTTTTAGAATTTTTGATATTCACTAACAGAGTTCTCAACACATTTTTGTGGTCCGAATCCGCCCGTATCGCGACAATTGTCTACTCGAATCCGAACGTCGACCGATTTTTACGGCCGGCAGGCATCTGGGTCTCAGGCCAAAAGGAATAAAGCCAAAAGAAGAAGTAAAAATATAAATAAGCAACAAAATTCTTCATTCTTATTCAAGAAAATTAATTCTTCGACAGAATTTGTATCTGAAGTTGGATAACATTTTGTTATTTATTATAAATTTATATTTTTACTTCTTTCAACCAAATTTCGAGTCCGACCGATACCGGTTACTTCTTGTCGGGACTCGGTCGAACATAGGTCGGGCGTCGGGTTCGAGAAACGTTGAGAACTCTGTTGACTAATCAGTTTTTTTTTTAAATAACTCTCAAAAAAATTGTTTTTTTTTTTTTTTTGTTATGACCATGTATCTTGCAAGAGTGTTGAAGAATTTTTATAAATAACGTTGAAATTATGCATAGATTTGCAGTTCCAATATATACCCGAAATTGTGTGTAATTTTGGGTATAGTTCTGGCTGAATAATAGCCTGTAAAATAATCGGTGATTATTCGGCACATTTTTAACCAAAATAACACAAAAAATGCCACTTGGGAACTTAAAAAAAATACATTAAAAATCAAGTCATTTTTATGGAAAACGAAAGATACTCCAAAGATTTTCTGAGACTGGATCAATATAAAAAAATCTGGCAGCCTTAATTTGATGTATATCAAAGCTTTTAAGCGATCTCAACGCCACACTTACCAGCCAACAAGTGTCCATTGTCAGAAGCTTGGCCGTTAGCAAAGATGGTTTTCACAAAAATACCAATGCTCCCCTTCGGACTATCACGACCACCAACTATCGAAAACCCCAATGATTTCATACCGGCACCTTTCTGAAAGTACACCTTCAGGAATATGAACTTTTGATGATCTTTTTGATTTGAAGAAAAACAATTTAAAAAATGTGGTTAATATTGAATTGATGTATGAAAAAAGGAAATTATAAAAAAATAGATGTTTCTACTTTCTGTTTCTTTTCCTTTTGCTCTCTCGAATTCATTAGACGATGAACTTTGAATTGTTATTGGTTTTAAATTATTTTCAAAAACGTCCAATGTGCCATTGTCTGCCATCAGCGATGACATATTGTATTTATCCGATTCGTTCGACAAATCTTGTAGCTCCCTCATTTTTTCGAAGCAACACATTGGTGTCGTCGAATTTCCGACATTTGAATCTTGATTAAAGTGATTAATCGCTTTAAATTCAGTGGGTGTAAAAAATTTCAATTTTGGAAAAACACATTTTCGCGACGAAAATGGTTTGTATTCACAAAAACTGTGACGATTTGAATTGAGCGGAACATCAATTTGATTGAATTGCTGTGGTTGTGTCAATTTTGTTTCGCCCAAAATGTAACAATTATCAAATATATTATGTTTATTTTCCGTTGGCTGCCAATTTTCATGTGCATTGATGTGGTCGATGGCTTTTGTTTCTCTATGCGATGCATAACCATATTTGGATAAAAGATCGATTCGTTGTTTACCTTTAAAACATTTAATTAAAGAAAAAAATTAATAAATTGTTGTGCTTATACGTGTGTAACGAATGCTACCTAAAATTCTCCATCGTTCTTCATTGCATGCGGCATGTGATTTATTTTTATCACCATACACTGGCACGTAATCCGTGTTATTTTGCAATGGCTTCAAGTCTGACGTTCTATAGCTCCACATTTCATTCTTTGGTTTATTCAAATTCAGCATTGGCACATCCATGATCAATGAAGAATTTTCACCATCATTATTTATGTCACCGTTTGAGTTAGACATTGTTGTTCTTGCTGATAAATCATAGTCTGAGTTTGTTTTTTTTTAATGAAAAAAGAAGAGAAAATCAATAAGCAAACAATTTCACTTTTCTTACATACATTCTTCTCTCACTGGCAAATATCATGCTTGAAATTGAACGCGAAAAAAAATGAGAATGAAAAATATTACCATTATGTAAATCGGCTTTGGATTTTGTGTCACAATCGTTCAGTAGTCTATCGCCGTATGTAGTTGGTTCATCATGTGTAATGACAAACTCTACAGAATCATCAACGAACGTTGACAGCATCTCTTGAACATTTCTATAAGCACCGTGTTTATCCAACGATTTCATTTCACGTAAATCGATGCAATTTACATGTACGATCTCGTCTCCAATACAAATCCGTCCATCCGCATTGGCCAATCCCGAACTTAACAAATTCGATACAATATACTTATATTCATGGCCACCATTTTCGATGTAATTATTATCGATGATCGGTGTTATTTCAATTCCAACAATATCGTTCAGTGATTTTCGTTGTAATTTCACATGTTTATATCGCTTGCGAATGTTAAGTTGGGATTGATTTTTTGCACTTAATCGATGTAAATTGAATTCATCCTTTGGGGTCGTTGATTTAGTACCATTTTGTTCGTCGGTGTGTCGGCTATCACTATCGTAACCCGATTCATTTGAACTAAAGCAACTGCTAAATCTTTGGTATGTGAATCGTGGTGATTGTAAATGCAAATCACAATTGCCATTTTCATTTGGTGTCAATGTATTATCGTCTCTATTCTCATTCGATTTCTGTGAATTATCATGTTTTTGCTGTTGTTGATGTTCGGCGTCACAATGATTAACTGGTTGTACTTTGTTGAAATCCATTGTGTTGCCGGTGTTGAGCACTTCTTGCAATCGTATTCGCTTTTGATTTATTACAGATCCACCATTTTCTTCCAGCAGCACACTTAAACGGGAGCGCAAAAACGCATACGGAAAATTTGAACGTTTTGATGCTTGCGGCTCATTAGCAGCATGTGCAATGTCATCATAACTTGCAGCTTTCACTGGTGCTTTTTTATTCAAATAATTGTCATTTCCATGATGGTTATGTTGATGATGCAGATGATGACTCTTATTATTATTATTATTGTTACTATTTACTGTATTTATTTTAGCCTCAATCGTTTTTGATGTTCGAAATTGTATGCCATCGGTTGGATCATCACCTTTTACATAGGACGGTGTATTCAGTTGACTAGTTGAACTGCTTCTGTAAAGTGTTCGTGTGTCATTCAACTGTTTTGAATTGCTTTGGATGTTGGTGCCACTGCTTCGGCTAAGCATTCCGGTCGATCCAATGCGATGAAAAAATGTTTTAAATGAATAGTTATTTATGGTGGTCGGCGTTGGTGTTGATGTTGATGTTGATGTTGCTGTTGTTCCTGTTGCCATTGAATTCGATTCATCCGGCGTCTTTGGCATACTTTTAAGCGAAAACATACCACGAACATTTGTTAAATCGCCGCTCAATGCTGATGGGCATTGTTTTCGTGATAATCCACCATCGTCGTGCATTTTACGACTGTCATTACGACGCAATAGCTCAAATTTTTTGCTCATTCGACGTCCCCATGTAAACACTATTGACGATGAAATATTGAGATTCAAAAGAAATGGTTAAATGGTTTTTAATCTTTCACCAAACAAAATGGTTTCGTTTCGTTTCAAGCGAAGTTTTCATTATTATCGTTTCAAAAGCTTAGTTTTTCTAACACCATTTTTTCGTCTTGCATATGAAAGTAGATATTTTCCCAATTTTTTTTTTGTTTGCTTTAGCGAAATTGAATTGAAATGATGTTTTATGAAAGCTCTCTTGAAAAGCCAAACGAAAGAAAAAAAAGATTTCTCTCTTGGAATATGTCAACAACTTTTATACGTAAGTGGTTCGACTCACTGTTTCGCGGCTCTTTGGGATGGTCACTGTCTAAAACAATCACTGGAATCGCTTTAACTACTTTATAGTCTGGCAATTGACCTACAGGTGAGATGAAAGAATCTGATTACTATTTATACGACGTTGTAAAAACTATTCTTTCGCAATAAAATAAAATAATATTTTTCTCTTTTTTTATCATACTAAAAAGAACAAAACATGTTTCTTTGTGCCATGAATGTCGATTGAATTTTTGCAAGATTTCTTTCACATTTGATCTATATTTTGTCTTGCAATTCGACCGTGGAACTTAATTCGTACCATTTTGTCCAATAAATTTGATTTTTCCATCCATCGAATTGGTAGACGATTCCGATTTGATGTCGACATTTTCGCTGACTGTATCAAGGGAATCGTTATCGTCTTGGATCGATAGTTTTGTTTCTAAGTTATCAAGTGTGGCTGTAAAAACAACAGAATTTATGAGTTTTTTTTTTGAAGCTTTCGCTTGTTAGTTACATTCATTTTTTTATGAAAACAGATCTTTTTTTTGTAAAGAGAATGTCGTGTATTGTACGCATTCTCTTTACTAAAAAAATTAAAGAAAAAAAAATGAAAGACAATGTGTATTGAAGGGTGAACTGTACCAAAAAGTTCATTAATAAAATCACTGGTTGTGTCGGAATGTAATTTTAATGTGGTTTCCTGGTTGTTTGTTGTTGTCGTTGTCAAGTTATCTGACTGCGTTGAAATTTCATAATGACTATTGGCCGTTTCTTCAACTTGATCGCAATCGGGAATCGGTGTAAATTTATCTGTACAACTATTGCTATCAATTGTTTTTAAACCGTGACTATTTCGTTTTTGTTCGTCTAAATAGCAATTTGTTGATGGATTTTCGTTGGCCTCAAGTTGCTGGTGATCATCATTTCCATTTTGAATGTTATCATCGTTTTGAAATTCTTGTTGTGAATTGCAGCTCACAATTTTGACATGTGGATCATTTTCGTTGGCCACAACCGATGAAACGTCACTGTATTCACCCGATTTACGACTTTTAAACAAGCGCATAATTTTTTCTTGTTTTCAATGATGACAGTGGTTCTGTCACTATTTTGTTTTATATTCGATATTCGACACGTAAATCTTTTGCAATTTTGCACAATACAATTTGGGCGCAATAAACTATTGATTGAAGTGTGTCAAGCATTTTATATCGTTTTGATAGACCTGCAGAAGAATTAAAAGAGAGAGATAAAACAAAAGATGAAATGAGATAATCACGAATTTAATGGTGATATATAATTTGAAAGCAACAAAAAAAGACGATGGTTGCATCTGAAGCATGTACATTGTCGATTTTATCTTGAGATTATGGTTCTTCTTTCAAATGCATTCGGCAATTGAAAAAAATGATTTTTCTATTTTCGCGCCGTCTACTCGATCGATTCCATGCGATGTGTACTTTAATAAATAGTTCTCATGATAATTTGGCACGAAAAATCGACACAAACGACCGCTGCGTTTCACGAAGGAAGTGCAAAAAAAATACCAGCAAGAAAGCACATGATAATAAAACAGAAAATACATCGACTGGCAAAGATAACACCCGATGAACATACTTCGAGAAGAAAAGCAAGCCATAAAATGAGTGAAAGAAATCAGCGAAGAGAGCGAAAGAAAAAAAAACACACGACAGAAAAAAAAGACTGTATTCAATCTGTGTTTAATACACTTTCGATAATTTCTAATGCATGTTGGATTGAAGTGTGTAATCACAAAACAGACCTCGATTCGCTTGAGTTTACATACGATGTATTACAAAAGTTTGAAAAACTCTTTTAAACGAAACTGTATACAGAAAACGCCAACGTAAACCAAGCATTACTCATTGTGCTTTGGCAACTAAACGAAGGAACAAACGAACTAAATAACAAGCAGCAGTAATGATTTTCGTCTACAAATAAAAATCATTAAGCAATAGTAAGCTAAATTGTGTTTTAGCAATGATTTGTTATTAATAACGCACGGACAAAATGTGATGGAATACAACCAAAACGAAAACAACAACTTCGACGACATTCACATCGTGCGCTCGATACAAAAATGCATAATAACATGTCAAGTTGAATGAATAAAAAAAAAATACTGAATTTCTTACCAGAATCAATGTACGTATTATGATATAATTCTGTTTGACGTAGAAACAACAGCGAAACAAACAAACATAAAAAAAACCGTACAGATTATGACTACAAAATTAGTACCTGTTATGCGTTCGTTTTAAATATGGCATAAATTCGTTATGGTGCACTTGCACCATCGAAGGTGTCAAGTCACCGAATAAATATATAGTATATATGAATTTTTTTTGTTTCGTATTCACATTGACGGCGGTGAACGATCGATACTTTCAAAAAGTGACCATTCTGTAATTAGGTGAACTCGTTCATTTGTTTGTCTCTCGCTTAACTCAATCGCGTATAATGAGTATTGGAGTTTTGCTTTGCTAGACGCAGTACACTGGTACCACAGCACAAATGTTTTTTTTATCTCTTGGCATCACGTTTGGCATTTATCGCGAATGGTTTTTTTGAATCACCGAGGTTTTGATCTGTTAAATGAATGATCGTTTATTTGCTTCTACATTGGCTTTGCCATTCAACAAAGAAATAATAATAAAAAAAAACACTAAATTGAAAGAAGAAAAAAAAAATTGCGCACAAGTACTCTAATGTAATGAACCGAGATTTTCATCCCAAAGAAAGTGTATAAAAATTTCCTAATTACATTTGAAAATAATCAAATTATTTTGATTTGATTTTATTCGATTTCTCTTTAATCCGCGAAACGAACGCGATTTACAAAACAACTTAACTGTGCGGCCACAACGTCCATTGCAATGTTCTACATGATCGCTTTTGATTCCGCTGCAATGTTTTCTATCCCAATTAACATGTTATAATTTTTAATACCATCAGTCGTGTCTAAGTGATTAAAAAAATAAATACAACAACAACAGAAGCAGTAACAGCACACATACACATACACCATATTCGGCAAACTGCATCAGCAAACAACAGAGCACTTCGAAGAGCGCGTATGGACGGTGAATATATATATGTAAACGGAAGAAATGCGGAAGGTTAGTTTTGCGCGCGTATCATCGTTTGCCTATTTCATCAATATTATATTGAACACGGTAGCCACAAAAGAAAATCAAAAACATCAATAACTACATTAAATTAAAAAAAAAACTCTCTGCATTTGCATTCGTGCCGATCGCGATCAATTTATTGAAACATTTTTGCATTAAACAGAAAAATTGGCTGAAAACTCTTGCACAGTTTTTTTTTTGTTTTTAATTGAATGAATTTCACGTATGCCCTTGTATAACATTATGTGTGTGTTTGTGTGTGTAATCGCCTTGCATATCAATGGACGATGGAAAAGCGCGCGCAATCCAAAACGTATGAGCGTTTGATGAAGCGTAAAAGAATGTTACGCATGTTCAGGGAGCAAATGGTTTGATTTCCTAAAAAAATGCAATTTTATTTAAGTGCACTGCAAAACATTCTTGGCTTTCTGTAACTTTACGCTGAAATATTTTTGATGATACGAGCGCATTGTTTTTTTGAAATGCGAATACACATTTTTGCTGACCGATCGGAATGATGCACCGTTAAAATAAATGTATTGTGGAAGAGGTCGGATCAACTTTCCCATCGGAAAAATGATGACAATGCAAAATTGCCTTTTCTTTTGTTGTTGCTGGTTGTCATTAATGCTGTTGTTGTTATTCTTAAATAGCTTTTATTCAACAAATGAATTGTTGACATACTATATTTATGATTCGAATATAAACAGTCGAAAACACACAAATTTTTGTTGCTGTTGAATTCGATTTGAATCCATCAGAACCGGTTCATTCAATGCTATTTCATTTGCTATTTTTGTTTCACTCACTCACTCACTCTCTTATCAAAAATTCAATACACTCGAACGAATCTTTTATCGAATCAAAACATTGAGATTTGCATTAGAATGACTATCACATCATCAAAAACTGTAGCATTAAAACAACAATCAAGTAGCGATTTTGTGTTTTCGGCGATTGTGCATTGGCATATGTGTATTATATATCAGTGGTTAAGCACCAAATAGCCATAATCAAACAGTTTTATCAAAGTGATATTAACATGTCTTTTAAATTTGTTAATTTTTGTTTTTTTTTCTCGGCATATTTTGTTCGCTCACTCACTCGCTTTTCTCTCTCTCTCTCTCTTATTCATTTCGGGCCGTTTTAATCGATCGTTCTGCCTTGCTATGCGTGCGCTTCATATTTTCGTGTGTCGCACATATTTCGTACGAAAAATGACATTCAGCACCACATTAAAAAAAAAGACGATGATTAGTTCACAAAACTTGTTGTGGAATTTTGTTTTGATATTCTGCGAGAGTGTTATAATAATATGATTTTTTTTATTCTTCATTCGTTCGAAGATTTTTTGCGCAAAAAAAACCAACGTTTAAACCGTTTATATTTTTATGTACACAATTTAAATGTGTATTTCTTACATTTTTCGCTTCAAATTCTGTATCTAAAGGTGGATTAAGCGCATACAACACACAAGTCGATATTTGCGAACACAAAAAAAAGAAAAAAAAAACACTTTAAAGCACGTTCGATGAATAGATTAACAGAAAATTTAACAGTAAACACTACTCAAGTCCACAAAGAATCACATTCGTACTACACACACTCCAGATATCCACTGTATGGTGTGTGTTTATTTTTTTATTTTATTGTTTTGAAAACGGCACACCGAACTATCTGAACACACACAAAAAATTTAGTCAACAGAATGTAGCCGTAATGACGACGAACCCAAAATACGGCAAACTACAAAACGAAAAAAAAAAATAGTCACACAACACAATCGATATAAATAAATAAAAAATATGTATATAAAACACGGTTAAAAATGGATAAATTGTATGAAAAATAGTGATACGTTTCATATTAGAGCGTTGAGAGTCAAGTGCAACACTGCTGCTTTCGCTTGCTGCTCACAAACCACGAGCTCTGATTACAGTCATAACACAACGAATGCCGAAAGTACGTTTGGCGCTACGGATTTTTCATGTAGAACTATGGGCGCGCTAGCGCGCTAGCCGTTACTGTTGCTGTTGTGTGAACCTGCTCTCATGTTCAACTCAATGGCGATATGGTTTGCCTTTTTGAACGCACTTCTACCCAATTCACTCTGGCTCTCACTTTAACACACTCGATTCTTCCACTCTTGTCACCGAATTCTGACCGACCGATACTACACAATCCAAGTGCACGAAATCGATCAAAAACGATCGCTAAAATTTTCTGTGAATGAAATGAACGTCTAACCTTTTCGAACTGAATTAGAAATCAAGGCAATCATGAATTGACAAGTGTGTGCGAGAGAGTGAGGATGCCATGCATAGGCCGATTTTAAACCGATTTATATGACACTATAAAAGAGATTATCATACCAAATCATGTATATTTTTTGTACTTATCTCACGTCACATTTATTTCGATTTATTTGTACCGCTTACGAGAAATAAAAATTTGTTGCTTTAAATATACATTTCAGCACCGAAGAAAAAAAAAGGCATTTATCGGACCGAAAGAAACATACTAACCATACACACATAGCGAAATGAGTGGAAGTATGAAGCAAATAGAAAACGGCAGTGGAGAATGATTAAAGTATAGAAATAATATATGAAGAGAAAAAGCAACAACAGCAACAGCACACTACAAAATGCGACCGATGTTCGAGGAAAATATCGAAGCAACTAAGCGTTGAAGTGTATTGAAAACAAGATTGTGTGGATATGGTATTGCATGAACGGCACACGAACTCAGCGTCTCATGCACAGATAGATCAACGATGCTCAACGCATTTTTATTGTTGTGTCCACTGTCAATGTCGCGTCTTGGTAATTGTTTTCTTTTTTTATTATTATTTCGCCGTTGCCACTGCGGCCGTTGCTGTTGTTTCATTTTCTTTTGTCGATTCCGTTTTTTTTTGTGTGCCATTCTTGCCCATTTCTTCAATATACAACAACTCATCTCCAATTATTTTAACTTCTTTTTCTCTCATTTTATTTACTTGAATGCTCTCAATAGATACAAATACTATTAAGTAGTTTTGCATTGAAATCAAAACTCACCATTCATTACGCAGAGAAGGGAAGAAGAAGAAGAAGAAAAAACAAAGCGACTCAAGTTATTTTTGCTATTTTATTTTTCTTCTGTTCGATTTTTCTGAAGATGGTAAAGTCTATGTGTTTTTATTGTGATGAGAAAAATGAATGAATGCGTTCGTTGTTGTTGCAGTTTTTTTTCTTCTTCTTCTTTCGTATCATTCATATCACTTTGATATCAATTTATTTGGTATAATCGATGGTCATTTGTGATGGCAACGAAGACAAAAACAGTTTATCAATACGCTTGATTAATCTTGAACTTATATCCAAATGGTCACCGTTTTGTGAAAATAAAATTGTCTGCTTGTTGTTGCATATTTTTTTTGTGTCGAATGAAGTTAATGGGAGAGAAACGAACGAGTAAAAAAAAGTGTTCGAAACACGCAAATGACAAAATGTAGCAATTTCCCACGGAAAACGCCTCCTGACGTATCCCTCCTATCTGGGTCATTTGGAGGTAGATGTAGACAATAAATGCATTCCATGCTTCGATAAATGCATTCCATTTTCGGACTTGCGCGTACTTATGAAGAAATGACGGTTTTCTGTCACATATTTGTCGTTGTCATTGTCGCCACAATCATCATTATAATGGACCTTTTTGTTTGTTTTCAATGGAATGATTTTCAATTTACCCGAAATGTATTTGCCATTTTAACCAACAGTTAAAAGTAGTAATTAACATGTGACAGACAAAACACAACAAATATAAAATGTAATCAATTTAAATGGAAACCACTACCACACTCAGTATGCACCGAGCAATTTGAGACAATAAAAACTTCCAACGGTCATTTGATTCGATTTCATGTGTATGATACACGTGTATTTTGGTTTTTTGTTGTTGTTTATTTTTAACTAGGTTAATGCTTTATTTCAGAATTAAAAAAAAAAACGTATAAATACAATATATATATTTTTTAAATATGTTTTGTAAATGCATTTCAAACAGTTTTTCACAATTATAAAATATTCTACT